ACCCCACTGTCTGAGACTTTCTCTGAGCACCTCATCTGTCGGGGCCTTGTCCTTTATGTACTCAAGGAGCTTGAATATATATATATATATATATATATATATATATATATATATATATATATATATATATATATATATATATATATATATATATATATATATATATATATATATATATATATATATATATATATATATATATATATAGACAAATAATAAAGAGTCACTCAAATGAAAAGTAAATCATTTATTTATAATTTAGTTTGTTTATGAGACAGAGACAAAACACACTCGACATTAAACTTAACAGGACAGATTCTTTGTTGTAGCGCTGGAGATAATTTCCACTGGTTTTTGGTCAAAACACAAACTCCAGGTCTGTTTTCGAGGAGGCAACAGAATTATAACTTGACTTAAAGCTCAAAAGAGTCAATGTTACGTAATCCAAAACTTTAAATGAAATAACTAAGAGGCCTATTCAAAGGTTTAGTGGGAGCGGATTAGTGCGGACTGTGGGATAATGGGACCGTCCTTCTTTGGAACTTTTTACCTCAGCTCAACCAAAACAAAGTGTCCAAAGATTGTGTTTTGTTTTTTTGTGTTTTTTTGTGTTTGAATAACCTTCTCCAAACCCGGAAGCGCCCTGACCTCTGACTTCCTCCGGGCTTTTGTGCTGCGTGTGGAGAGGCCGGAGCGCGCTGACCTCCGCTTTGTCCCCGGGCGCATCTTCCATCTGCCGCCGCCCCGAAGTGTCCTCCGCGGGGCAGGGGACAGGCGGCGTCCGAGCCCCGCAGCCCCGGAGCCCGCGGCGTGTACAGGAAACCACCCGAAACCTGGTCCTGGACATAAAAAAAAAAAAAAAAAACACGAGAAAAACATAAAAACCAAAAAGTCCGGAGCAACAGCGCGAGACGACGAGTGTAAAAGGTGAAAAGAGAAAGTCACCGATGCCTAAAACTTTACAAACTATTTTTTTTTCTCCCCATTTTGAATTTATCTAAAAACAGCCAAAACTGGAGGGTTAAAATGTCAGTGTAAAATATTTCAGAGTTGTTTTTTTAACACACAAAAAAGTTTTATTTTAACGATTTGAAAGTTAAATGAGGGTTCAAGTTGCAGTTATTTGCCAGAGTTGATTTGGTTGAAGTTAATTCAACTTTACCTTAGTGTTAATTCAACTTCTCTTAGTGTTAATTCAGCTTTCCCTAAAGTTAATTCAACTTATTTTAGTGTTAATTCAACTTTCCCTAGAGTTAATTCAACTTCCTTTTGTGTTAATTCAACTTATTTTAGTGTTAATTCAACTTTCCCTAGAGTTAATTCAACTTCCTTTTGTGTTAATTCAACTTCCTTTAGAGTTAATTCAACTTTCCCTAGAGTTAATTCAATTTCCTTTTGTGTTAATCCAACTTCCTCTTGTGTTAATTCAACTTCCGCTAGTGTTATTTCTACTTTCAACAAGTTAATTCAAATTCCTCTCCAGACAAACAGGCATTCACACATTTCAGTAACTCTTTATTATTCATTTTTCACATTTTCAAATCTCAAAACGCTCTGTTCCACCTTGTGATGTCACGAAGTGGTAGTTTACAAGTGAACAGCTCTTTTACTTTTACCTTTAGAATTAACTCTCACAGAATCAATTTTAACATTTTCTCAAGAGTTTATTTGAGTCCAATCTGTTCTAAAGTTAATTTAATTTATTTTTGGAAATGTTAATTAAGTAACACTGGACCAGTGTTCCTGTTTAACCCCGAAATCAAGAGTTATATTAACGTTTTGAGAGTAAACGGATAACACTTTGCAGAGTTATCCGGATTTAACTAAACAACACACAGAGGTGTTTTATTTTTACACTTTATTTGAGTTAATTTAAGATGAAATTATGAACAAAACTGGTTCAAACTGGTCTTCTCTCACCGGAGTTTGAAGTGGAGGTTGGAGAAGCCAAATTAACACTAACGGAAGTTGAATTAACACTAGAGGAAGTTGAATTAACACTAAGAGAAGTTAAATTAACACTATTGGAAGTTGAATTAACACTAGTGGAAGTTGAATTAACACTAGATGAAGTTGAATTAACACTAGAGGAAGTTGAATTAACACTAAGAGAAGTTGAATTAACATTACAGGAAGTTGAATTAACACTAGTGGAAGTTGAATTTACACTAAGAGAAGTTAAATTAACACTAGTGGAAGTTGAATTAACACTAAGAGAAGTTAAATTAACACTAGTGGAAGTTGAATTAACACTAGTGGAAGTTGAATTAACACTAGATGAAGTTGAATTAACACTAGTGGAAGTTGAATTAACACTAGTTGAAGTTGAATTAACACTAGTGGAAGTTGAATTAACACTAGATGAAGTTGAATTAACACTAGAGGAAGTTGAATTAACACTAAGAGAAGTTGAATTAACATTACAGGAAGTTGAATTAACACTAGTGGAAGTTGAATTAACACTAAGAGAAGTTAAATTAACACTAGTGGAAGTTGAATTAACACTAAGAGAAGTTGAATTAACACTAGTGGAAGTTGAATTAACACTAGTGGAAGTTGAATTAACACTAGATGAAGTTGAATTAACACTAGTGGAAGTTGAATTAACACTAGATGAAGTTGAATTAACACTAGTGGAAGTTGAATTAACACTAGATGAAGCTGAATTAACACTAGAGGAAGTTGAATTAACACTAAGAGAAGTTAAATTAACACTAGTGGAAGTTGAATTAACACTAGTGGAAGTTGAATTAACACTAGATGAAGTTGAATTAACACTAGTGGAAGTTGAATTAACACTAAGAGAAGTTAAATTAACACTAGTGGAAGTTGAATTAACACTAGTGGAAGTTGAATTAACACTAGATGAAGTTGAATTAACACTAGATGAAGTTGAATTAACACTAGTGGAAGTTGAATTAACACTAGATGAAGTTGAATTAACACTAGTGGAAGTTGAATTAACACTAGAGGAAGTTGAATTAACACTAAGAGAAGTTGAATTAACACTAGTGGAAGTTGAATTAACACTAGTGGAAGTTGAATTAACACTAGTGGAAGTTGAATTTACACTAGTGGAAGTTGAATTAACACTAGAGGAAGTTGAATTAACACTAAGAGAAGTTGAATTAACACTAGTGGAAGTTGAATTAACACTAGTGGAAGTTGAATTAACACTAGTGGAAGTTGAATTAACACTAGATGAAGTTGAATTAACACTAGAGGAAGTTGAATTAACACTAAGAGAAGTTGAATTAACACTAGTGGAAGTTGAATTAACACTAGTGGAAGTTGAATTAACACTAGTGGAAGTTGAATTAACACTAGTGGAAGTTGAATTAACACTAGTGGAAGTTGAATTAACACTAGTGGAAGTTGAATTAACACTGAGAGAAGTTAAATTAACACTAGAGAAAGTTGAATTAACACTAAAGAAAGTTGAATTAACTCTAGGGGAAGTTGAATTAACACCAAGGAAAGTTGAATTAAAACTAAGGTAAGGGTTATTTAACACTAGATGAAGTTTAATTAACTTCAATCATATCAACTCTGGCAAATAACCCCAACTTGAACCCCGATTTAACTTTCAAAAAGTTAAAATAACACTTTTGGTGTTAAAAACAACTCTCAAATATTTACCCTGAAATTTTAACCCTCCAGTTTTTGCTGTGAATTAATCAGCAAATTTGCTGATCTGCTCTAATGTCGTTCCCTCCTCAAAATTAGACCTGGAGTTGTGTTTTGTTTCATTCACACATGTTTGAGTAACTCTTTATTATTCATTTTTTACATTTCCAAAGCCTCAAAATCGTCTGTTCCACCTTGTGATGTCATGAAGTGGTAGTTTTCAAGTGAACATCTCCTTTTACCTTTAGTTCAGCAGAGATTTGCAACTCCAGGGCTGAAATTAAGCAAATAATCTTGTCTAAGTTTAAGTCTAAATGATTCTACACTGCAAAGAACAAAATACAGCCACGTTAAAATTTCTGGAATTAAGAAAGTTTTATCACGATTTGAGTAAATTTCACTTGACGAGTAAAATTATTAAAGACTTTTTGTACTTAAAATGTGAAAATACATCTTTCTACACACACAGAAAAAGAATAAACAACCACTTTTTGCACTTAAAATGAGAAACAAACAAAAACTTGTTGCTTGAATTAAGAAAAACACACTTATTCTATTTGATTTTCAAGTTGAATCGACTGAAATAAAGTGAAAAGTTCTTAATTTAAGTCATTTTAACTTACCTAGATATTGTTTTTGTTTTTTTTCAGTGTAGTGAAGGTGCGTGGAGTTTAAAAACGCAGTGGAGCTTGTATTGCAGGATAATTAAAGTGTGTACTCATGTAAACAGACTGGATATTAGATTTATAACTCACACGTCTCCAGAGTGTCTCCTGAGTTTGACTTTGCGCGCTGGATCCGGGCCGTGCGTAAAAGGCACCGACGCGCCGTGCGTAAAAGGCACCGACGCGCCGTGAATCAAAACACCGGAGTTTCTTTTCATTCACCTCCGGAGGATCCTTCGCTCTTCACGTGACCTTGGCCCCGGGTCCCCATTGGCTCTCGGCACGTGTCTTTAAAAAAACGCGAGCGCCACGTCACGGCCGCGCCTTCAGCCAATCAGAAATGAGAAACAAAAGCCGTAGTAAAAGTATTTGAGCGGCGCCTTTGGGAGACGCTTCAGTGGCCACGGCTCCGGGATCCAAAACACACCGGACTTTTTAACTGTTTTCTGTTTGTAAATGTTGTAATTGTGTTTAATTTCTTTGTTTTGATTAAAGCAAAGCGGCCGTGGATGCGTAATGGAGACGATCTGACGCAAACCCGATGCGTAAATATTTAAAAATAATTAAAAATACCTCATAAAATATTAAAATCCGGGCCTTTGTTACTCTGAATCAACTGGGTGGATTTTTTGGACATATTTTTTGGAGGGTCCGGGGTCAGGATTATACAAAACTGGAACCAGGAGCAGACCCGAAGACCTCTCCATCATGGAACACAAAGGCCAGAGCGCACGGGACTCCGGCGCCGAGGCGAGCCGAGGACTGGCCGCGGCGCACGGGCCTCCGCAGTGCGCACACCGCGTCACCAACTTCTACATCGACAACATCCTCCGCGCGGACTTCGGACGGAGGAAGGAGGAGAAGAGGAGGCCGGGGTCCGAGCGCGGCGCGGCGGGGCTGGACGCGCGGGGCCCCGGGGAGAAGCGCGAGGTGACGAAGGAGAAAGAGGAGGAGACGCAGAAGGAGAAGGGCAAAGACTCCGGGGACGAGACGGGCAGAGGCGACGCGGACCCGAGCGCAGGACCCGCGGCCAAACCCATGCTGTGGCCCGCGTGGGTCTACTGCACGCGCTACTCGGACCGGCCCTCGGCAGGTGCGTAAAACACGAGAAAACTTTCAACTTTAACCAAAAACGAGCCAAAGAACACAAAGAACAACCTCGTACAGTTAATGTTACTATAAAACAAGCTCAACAAAACGTGAGAAAGCGGAGATTTTAACGTTTTTAGTGTAATTTAACGATTTACAGACTAATTTTATCCAGTTTAATTCACGATTTGTGCGTAATCGCTGCTCCTACGCTGCAAGTTTAAGTCCAAATGATTCAAACAAGCTCCCAATTGTGGCACCCAAAGCTACAATTAAATAATAACGCGAATATTGTGCGTCAATCTAGTTGCTAAAATCTTAAATCGTCTGTATTTCCTCTAAAATTGCAGCTCCACTTATAAAAAAAACAAACAAAAACAAAAAACAAAAAACGTAGCGCCATGAATAATTACGCGCTGTTTAGTAAGACTATTGTGCAAAGAGAGCCGCAGTTTGCGCTTTGAACGTGACAAAAATGTCGTGATCCGTTTGTTTTTATATTTATTTGTAGCCATGGCTGTTCTTAAAATGCACTTTTGCGTAATTTTAAGTCAATAAAACGCGTAAATGTGCTGATTTGTGGTTCTTTTTACAATCTGAATTACTTTTTTTTTTCCTCTAAACGAGTACAGAAACTGCGCTGCGTCACTCCAGAGTAAAATACATTATACTTTTTAATAAGTCCAGATGGTTTTGGTGGATTTTTCATGGCTACAAAGGGACATAACGCGCTTAGGGAGGACGCTGCCTGGCATAGCAGCGCACGCACCCCCACCTCCGTTTCATTCATAACATCCAACAAAAGAAAAACTCGATATCAAACTTCCTTCTGCTCTCTTCTTCACCCATTTGCAGAACGAAATCGTGTCCAGTTTTTACGCGTAAAAACTCCTGCGCAATGGTGCAACGATTCTCCGGGCAAGGTTTTAAACTCAGAAATTTGGGGTAAAACGCGAGAAAAAAACGTAATACAGCTCAAAAATGTTCGCTGGAGGTTTCATTAAAGCTTAAAGACGCGATAAGAACGAATAAAAGTGTCGAAAATCGGTCATTTTTGCGTCCAACCAAGTTTAACGCCATTGTTCCAGGCTCCTCTTTGTTAATATTTCATTTGCATATTTTTGACAATAGCTCCATCCCAAAATCCGGGGTTGGGCACAGACTGGAGCTGCCATTTCGGGTAAATAAAGCGGGTTTTTTCGGTTCAATTTAAGCACAAAACGTCTCCCGCTTCTCCTCATTTTCAGTTTTAAAAGTGTCTTAAAAGTTGCAGAAGCGGAGTTGTGTTTTAGTGGGATTTGATTGGTCGGTTTGGGGATCCGGAGCCCTTTGTGCGTCAGTCGCGGTGCGTAATTGTTCTGATGGTCTTTACTTCCAAGTAGAGAAAATAGAGTTGAGTTAGAAGTTTGGGAAATTGATGGAAATATTTCGTTTCTGCTGCAAATTTGTAGTCGTTTTTTAGAAAGTGGAGAAAGTTTTATTTTACATTTTTTTGGCACAAAGAGCGCTGACACTGCTCAAATTTAACGCAGTTTTGCACAAATTTCATAACATATTTTTTCTTTAACAGTCCTAAAAATGCGTAAAAACAAATCTGTAACTGGGAAATTTAAATCTTGTACAGTTTGTAAATTAGAAATGTGAATTCAGAGTTTTGTTTTGCTGTGTTTATTTCATTTTCGTCTTAGTTTTGAGTCGCTAGAATTTGGTAAAAAATAAGCATAATTATAGCCAAAAAAAAAAAAAAAAAAAAAAAAAAAGGCTGAGATTAAAGTGAAAGTATTAAATTGGATTGCGGGGGCCTAAACTCTTTATCAAATCAAAATGGTTACTCAGCAAATTAGTCTAAACTTTCAGCTTTCCCTCCAGTCCGCGGCTTTTGTTTGGCCAGATCACTTTTGTTGCTTTGAGCGCGGCTTCTTTGAGGAGAGATGATGGGATCAGAGATGGAAAGAGGTGTCCATCATACTCCCTCCTCCCCCCCCCAAAACCCCCCGCGCCCCCTCCCCGCCTCCCGCCTGCCCAGCACCGGCCTGAGCCACCGGAGCCGCGCGGGCCGCTTCCCCATCATAACCTCATATTTTATTCAAAAGGGAAACTTCTGATGCGCGGAGACTCGGGGAAACACGTGACATCTCACTCTGACAACGAGCAAAAACTGTTGACAAAAATATTCCAGCAGGCAACGCGAGTGTAAACAATAAACCGGCGTGATTACGTAACGCGTAACGTCAGACTGAGCCAAAAATACGAACACAGTTTTACTCTGAAGTGGCACAAATCAGGACTTGGACCACGCGCTGCTCTCCAAATGTTTGCAAAGTGAGGATGGATGTTTTTACGCATTCACTTTACGCACCATAATTCAACTTTACGCACCGTAATTCAACTTTACGCACCGTAATTCAACTTTAGGCACACTAATTCAACGCACCATAATTCAACTTTAGGCACAGTAATTCAACTTTACGCACCATAATTCAACTTTACGCACCTTAATTCAACTTTACGCACCATAATTCAACTTTCTCCAACCATAATTCAACTTTAGGCACAGTAATTCAACTTTACGCACCATAATTCAACATAATTCAACTTTACACAACCATAATTCAACATGATTCAACTTTACGCACCATAATTCAACTTTAGGCACAGTAATTCAACCATACGCACCATAATTCAACATAATTCAACTTTACACACCCTAATTCTACTTTAAGCACGTTAATTCAACTTTAAGCACGTTAATTCAACTTTACGCACCATTATTCAACTTTACGCACCCTAATTCTACTTTAAGCACGTTAATTCAACTTTAAGCACGTTAATTCAACTTTACCCACCTTAATTTAACTTTACGCACCATAATTTAACTTTACGCACCAAAATTCAACTTTAGTTTAAATCCTTTATGTTTATTTGGAAGACTTGTCCAAATATCTGTTCAGTTTTAATTTAAGCTACTTTAATATCAACACACAGCGGTGTTTTGTTTACTTTTTTCACTCTGTCCAAAGGAAACTACATGGTGTATTTGGCAAAAACGTCCTAACTCGTCCTCGGTTTGTCCTCAGGCCCCAGGTCCCGGAAACAGAAGAAAACTCCGGAGCCCACTAAAGACGACAAGCGTCCGCGCACGGCCTTCAGCGCGGAGCAGCTGCAGCGGCTCAAGACCGAGTTCCAGACGAACCGGTACCTGACGGAGCAGCGGCGCCAGAGCCTCGCGCAAGAGCTGGGCCTGAACGAGTCCCAGATCAAGATCTGGTTCCAGAACAAACGCGCCAAGATCAAGAAGGCGTCCGGAAACAACAGCAACTCTCTGGCGCTGCACCTGATGGCGCAGGGTCTGTACAACCACTCCACCCACAAGGACCGCTCCGACAGCGACTGACACGCGCCGCGCACGCACCGCTGCGGACACGCGGCTCAGACGTGTCGCGGCGCGGCTGACACGGACTGGAGACGGACTGGTGGACGCGGGCCAAGAGGCGGGCCGCAGACTGAGGGGCCCCCAGGAGCCCGGGCTAGAGGTCACAAGGCGCGCACACAGAAAGAGGCTGTTGAAGAGGCTGTTTGGAGACGGTTTCACGGATGAACCGCAGTTTCATTTATTTTTAGAAAAGCGCATAAACTGGGATTGAGTTTTGCGCAGGCCCGGACCACAGCGCGCTCCTCCGCCTCTGCAGCCCGCGCTTGGGCCTCTTCGCCCCGCAGACTGTTCAGACTCCAGCGTGAGTTACGTGCCTCTGAGGAAACTGCGTCTCTTTGTTCTTCCTCTTGATCCATTTTCAGAATCAAGACCGAACCTCGCCATTTAGCAGAAAAGTGACGTAGTGCTTGAACACACTGCATGGCAACACCAAAAAAATAAGATTGTTTCCTGAACCTAAACGTGCACACACAGAAAGGCCGCGGTCTGAATCTGGATCATCAGAAAGCGCAGGAGACGTGCGTAAAAACCGTGCGTAAAAGTTCAACTATGCTAAAGCCAAAGACGTTCACGTGTTACACAGTTTTATTTTGTGTTCGAAACATGATTCACTTTCTCTGGGACTCTGGGGGAACTGTGGGCGTCCTCATTTACGGCCTGGAGCTCGGAGTTTCACCGCTAAAGGCCCAGAGGAGCGGAACACCGAGACGCACCGAGACGCACCGAGACGCATCGAGGCCACTTTCCTTTCCCAGAGCGTTTTTTATTATTTTTAAAATTTTAAATTTATTATTATTTTTTTTATTAAAGTCTCTTGTTTTTAGATTTCCCAGACCAACACACCCCAGATGAGACTCAAGTAATTAAACTTATAAATAAATATGTCGTGTGTGCAACGCGACCCAAACCCCAAACCGATTAAAATCTCGTTGGAGTAAAAAAAAAAAAAAAAAAAAAAAGGCCAGTTATAGGTGTAAAAAAAAACAAAAAAAAAAAAAACAGTCAAAACTTTTTCTAATTTTTATTGTACATTTTAATTTGAAATTATCTATATTTTTTGAATTTTTCATATTTTTGTAGCTGGACTTTTCGATTTATTCGCTTGACAAGAAAATAAAAGTCAAGAATTTTGTTTTTTAGCCCCAACCTCCAAGTACGACGCACTCATTTATCGATTAAAATTAGAAAAAAAAAAACGTATAAAAAGTATGATTTATTTTTGATATATTTTTGTCGAGCGGGAGCGTGCCCTGCTCGTGCACGCCTCAGGGTCCCGGGTGACGTCAAAGGGCTCCTCCACGTGACGCTTGGACCTACGTTTCTCTACGTTTCTCTATTTAAGCTGATTCTCAAAAGCCATGTACGGGGCTGTGTTTACATAACTTATTTTACTGCAATAAGAAGTTTGTTTCAGTGTCCGGGAGTCGGTCTCTGCCCACGTGATGACTTGGGGCGCGTTTGGGGAAGGACCCGCGCGCTTTACGTGACTTACGCCATTTCAAAAAACAAAAAACGATGTAAAAAGATATAAATTCCAAGAAGAAGACAATTGTTTTGGTGAAATATTTACGAAAACTGCCACAAATGGTATAAGATCTCGTGCCACAAGATCTCGCGAGACAAAACAGCCACACGGTCGTGCACACAAGAGAAAAAATACTTCGTACGATTTAATTTTTTTTCCAAAGTGTTTACATTTTAGATCGGACAAAAAAAGGTTGAGTACTGGTGAGTTGCGTCATTTACAGTTCCAAAACAAGAACAAAAATGCGAAATCGAAGAAATTAAAAACTGTGAGGACGAAATTGGAAACCGAATCGTGAAATTGACATAATCGGAATTGTGTTAAAATCTCGTCTTCGTCTCGTGTCTCGTCTTGTTTTCGTGGGAATTGTATCTCGTGTCATTCCCGAAAACAGGAAATGAGATGTTCAAATTCAAATTTCAGGAAGATTTTGTTTAATCGGTGTGTCGTTCGTTCATTTGTTTTTTTCAAAATAAAACAAAAAATAATAAAATGAAAAAACGATTTTCTCCAAAACCAAATCGAAAAAAAAAAAGAACAGATTTTTTGGTTTTTTCAGTTTTCGATTTTGTGTTTAAATGAAAAATGGAAAAAATGGATAAAGGACTAAACCAGAACTAAACCAGAACTAAACCAGGACTGAACTAGAACTAAACCAGGACTAAAACAGGACTGAACCAGGACTAAACCAGGACTAAACTAGGACTAAACCAGGACTAAACTAGGACTTAGGACTAAACTAGGACTAAACCAGGACTGAACTAGAACTAACCAGGACTAAACCAGGACTGAACTAGAACTAAACCAGGACTAAAACAGGACTGAACCAGGACTAAACCAGGACTAAACCAGGACTAAAACTAAACCAGGACTAAACTAGGACTAAAGGACTAAACCAGGACTAAAACCAGGACTAAACTAGACTAAATAGGACAGGACTAAATGAGGACTAAAGGACAGGACTAAACAAACCAGGACTAAACAGGACTGAACCAGGACTGAACCAGGACTAAAGGACTAAACCAGGACTAAACTAACTAGAACTAAACCAGGACTAAAACAGACTGAACCAGGACTGAACCAGGACTAAACCAGGACTAAACTGAGGACTAAACCAGGACTAAATGAGGACAAAACCAGGACTAAATGAGGACTAAACCAGGACTAAACCAGAACTGAACCAAGACTGAACCAGGACTGTTTTCAGTCCTAGTCTGGTCCCAGTCTCAGTCCTGGTCTCAGTCCTACTCTGGTCCTGGTCCGGTCACGGTCTGGTCCCGGCCTCAATCACGGTCTGGACCCGGTCTCAGTTCCGGTCTATGTCCTGGCCTCAGTCCGGGACCTGGTTCAGTCCTGGTTCAGTCCTGGTTCCTGGTTCAGTCCTGGTTCAGTCCTGGTTTAGTTCTTTAACCATTTTTTGCATTTTTCATTTAAACACAAAATCGAAAAACTGAAAAAATCAAATCATTTAATTTTTTTTTTTAATTTTATTTTGGTTTTGGAGATAAAAAATGAAGAAAATTGATTTTTCATTTTCTTATTTTTGGTTTTATTTTAAAAAACAAACGAACAAACGACACACGGGTTAAACAGAACCGAACTTTTAGTCCAGTAAAAGTTCCGTTACTTCAAGTTGGAGTAAAAATACGCGGATAGAAAAGTACAATTCCCTTAAAAGGTCACAGAAGTAAAAGTAAATCTACCTCACAGTTTCTCAGATGAACCCGGAGGTTTGTGGAGTTTTTCCCGGCGGCAGAGACCGACTTCCGGATTGTTCTGTGTGAATGATCCGTGGATGTGTGAGGATCTTGGTCCACGGAGCAAAGTGTGGAAACCTGCCGAGCCTTAACGTGTGAACGGAGCTGCGACTTTTCTCTGCCTCATGTACAGAACACAGATCCTCCTCTCACACGTTTTACGCCACAAAACAAAGAAAACTAAAAGAAAACAAACTGAAAACATAAATAAAACAAAGTGAAAACTAAAGTGTGTGGACGAGTTTTTCTCCTGCAGCACAAACGGGAAAAAAATAAATAAAACGAGAACGAAGAAACTGGAAATGAAATGTTTTTATTGTGTTTTTAGACCTCTGAACCAGGACTAAACCAGGACTAAACCAGGTCTAAAACAGGATAAACCAGGACTAAACCAGGACCAGGACTGAACCAGGACTGATCTGACACCGTGGGCGATGTCTGCCCAGGCCTACCAGACACTGGACGGTTGTTCCCGGTTTAGTTCTGGTTCAGTCAGTCCCGGTTTAGTCCTGGTTTAGTCCTGGTTTAGTCCTGGTTCAGTTCTAGTTTAGACCTGGTTTAGTCCTGGTTTCAGTTCCTGGTTTAGTCCTGGTTTTGTTCAGTCCTGGTTCAGTCCTGGTTCAGTCCTGGTTCAGTCCTGGTCTGGTCTAGTCCGGGTTCAGTCCTGGTTTAGACCTGTTTTAGTCCTGTTTTAGTCCTGGTTCAGTCCTGTTTTAGACCTGGTTTAGACCTGGTTCAGTCCTGTTTTAGTCCTGGTGTAGTCCTATTTTAGTCCTGGTTTAGACCTGTTTTAGTCCCGGTTTAGTCCTGGTTTAGACCCGGTTTAGTCCTGTTTTAGTCCTTGTTCAGTCCTGTTTTAGTCCTGATGTAGTTCTGTTTTAGTCCTGGTTTGGTGCTGGTTCAGTCCTGGTTCAGTCCTGTTTTAGTCCTGGTGTAGTCCTGTTTTAGTCCTGGTTTAGACCTGTTTTAGTCCCGGTTTAGTCCTGGTTTAGACCCGGTTTAGTCCTGTTTTAGTCCTGGTTCAGTCCTGTTTTAGTTCTGGTGTAGTCCTGTTTTAGTCCTGGTTTAGTCCTGGTTTAGTCCTGGTTTAGTCCTGTTTTAGTTCTGGTGTAGTCCTGTTTTAGTCCTGGTTTGGTCCTGGTTCAGTCCTGGTTTAGTCCTGGTTTAGACCTGCTTTAGTCCTGTTTTAGTCCTGGTTTAGTCCCGGTCTTCCTCGGGGACTGGCAGAGGACACGGCTGAGCGAGCTCCAATGGGTCGCGGACCACGAGTTGTGAAACCCGGATTAGAATCACAAAGACGCAGAAGTTTAAGGAAGATTAAAGTCCAAAAAAAAAACAAAAAACTGACTTTTTAAAGAATCCCAATGACTCGATTTTCTGGTCTGTGTTATAAAGTTACACTGCGGAACTTTCCTGGGAGGATCCGCGGCGTTTGTCTCCATGGAGATGTTAATGCTTTGGTTTAAATTACCCGCAGTACGGCATTAAACTGATCTAACTCTGCTCAAAAATATCTTAAAAACATTCGCTCTTACTGTGAGTGGGCTCGCCTCTCCACAGATCTGACCTGTGATTTGGTTCGCAGGCAGGTCTCCGTGGAGATTCTTAAATTTACTGATCTAAAAAAAAAAAAGAAAAAAAAAAAAAAAAAGGAGCGACCGTTTATGACATCACAAGGTGGAACAGAGGGTTTTGGATGTTTGAAGATGTAGACAGTCTTTCATTCCCTGGTTTAGTCCTGGTTTAGTCTTGGTTTAGTCCTGGTTTAGTCCTTGTTTAGTCCTGGTCTAATCCTTGTTTAGTTCTGGTTTAGTCCTTGTTTAGTCCTGGTTTAGTCCTGGTCCAGTTCTGGTCTAGTCCCGGTCTAGCCCTTCTCCATCTCTGGTCTAGTCCTGGTCTAGTCCTGATCTAGTCCTGGTTTAGTCCTGCTTTAGTCATGGTTTAGTCCTGGTTTAGTCCTGATTCAGTCCTGGTCTAGTCCTTGGTTAGTCCTGGCCTAGTCCTGATTTAGTCCAGGTTTAGCCCTGGTCTAGCCCTGATTTAATCCTGGTCTAGTCCTGGTTTGGTCCTGGTTTAGTCCTGGTTTAGTCCTGGTCTAGTCCTGGTTTAGTCCTGGTTTGGTCCTGGTTCAGTCCTGGTTTAGTCTTGGTTTAGTCCTGGTTTAATCCTGGTTTAGCCCTGGTCCAGTTTTGGTCTAGACCCAGTCCAGCCCTTCTCCATCTCTGGTTTAGTCCTGGTCTAGTCTTTATCTAGTCCTGGTTTAGTCTTGGTTTAGTCCTGGTCTAGTCCTGGTCTAGTCCTGGTCTAGTCCTGGTCTAGTCCTGGTCTAGTCCCGGTCTAGTCCTTGCTTAGTCCTGGTTTATGTTTGAGTGACTCTTTATTATTGGTCTGTCTCCATCTCCAGAGCTCCAAACGCTCCGTTTCACCTTGTGATGTCATGAAGTGGGAGTTGCTGCTGCCGCTGCCTGCGTCACAAACTCTTACAAAAGTTTAAATCTGGTGAGTAAAATAAAAATAAAACCTCGTACCAAAACGTGCACCGTGTGTTTTGTTCGTTTATTTAAACAAGTGTTATTCTATAAAATCTTTTCAAAGGCCACAGTTTCTTTTTTTTTTTTTCAGATCCAAAATGTCCAGAATCAGAGATCCTCCTTGGCCCGGCCGCTCGCTCTACAGTAACCTGGAAGGGACAAAAAAGATCATTACCGGACTTTTTTTTAACACACTGAAGGGTTAAAGTTTCAGAGTAAAATATTTCAGTTATTTTTAACACAAAACGTTTTATTTTAGCTATTTGAAAGTTAAATGGGGGTTCGAGAAGTGAATTCAGCCTCCTCTAGTGTTAATTCAACTCCTCTAGTGTTAATTCAACTTCCTTTAGAGTTAATTCAACTTCCTTTAGAGTTAATTCAACTTCCTTTAGAGTTAATTCAACTTCCTTTAGAGTTAATTCAACTTCCTTTAGAGTTAATTCAACTTTCTTTAGTGTTAATTCAACTTCTCTTAGTGTTAATTCAACTTCCTTTAGTGTTAATTCAACTTCCTCTAGTGTTAATTCAACTTCCTCTAGTGTTAATTCAACTTCATCTAGTGTTAATTCAACTTCCACTAGTGTTAATTCATCTTCATCTAGCGTTAATTCAACTTCTTTTAGTGTTAATTCAGCTTCTCTTAGTGTTACTTCAACTTCCTTTAGTGTTAATTCAACTTCCTCTTAGTGTTAATTCAACTTCCTCTTAGTGTTAATTAAACTTCCTTTAGTGTTATTTCAACTTCCTTTAGTGTTAATTCAACTTCCTCTAGTGTTAATTCAACTTCTCTTAGTGTTAATTCAACTTCCTCTTAGTGTTAATTCAACTTCCTTTAGTGTTAATTCAACTTCTCTTAGTGTTAATTCAACTTCCTTTAGTGTTAATTCAACTTCCTTTAGTGTTAATTCAACTTCTCTTAGTGTTAATTCAACTTCCTTTAGTGTTAATTCAACTTCCGTTAGTGTTAATTTGGCTTCTCCCACCTCCACTTCAAACTCCGGTGAGAGAAGACCAGTTTGAACCAGTTTTGTTCATAATTTCATCTTAAATTAACTCAAATAAATTGTAAAAATAAAACACCTCTGTGTGTTGTTTAGTTAAATCAGGATAACTCCACAAAGTGTTATCCGTTTACTCTCAAAACGTGAATATAACTCTGGATTTTGGGGTTAAACAGGAACTTTGGTCTTAACTCTAGAACAGATTGGACTCAAATCAACTCTGAGAAAATGTTAAAATTGATTCTGTGAGAGTCAATTTTCACACTCCACTTTTTGCTGTGTGTACAAAATTCAGAGTAAAAATATTTAGATTTTAGAGAATTTCAGCTGAATAGAAACAAAAAAGCTCTTGTTGAAGTAAAAAAAAAGAAGAGAATTTTAAGAAATGATCGATTTAGTTCAATTAAAATTCACTGCACAATATTTAAAATAATAAAACATGAAAAAAAAAAAAAAAATCATGACTGATCTTAGTTTGATGAAAATAAATGGACTTGATCATTATGTTATCCCTTATGCAAGTGTAATTACAGCTGTTTAAAAACACAGAGGAGCACTTCTGGCAGAGCACCTGATGATGTCATGAGGTGGTACCTGACATGTTGCTGCAGAGCTCCTGCTGGGCGTTGTCTGGGTTTGTCTGCAGCAGAGTGATGATGACGTCCTCCAGCTCCTCTCGGATCGTCTCGCACTGAAAACAAGAGACGCAGGAAAGAAACGGGGGAGAAATCAGTCCGGAATGTCTCGCAGTGCGGCATTAAACCTTTTTATCTCCACGGAGACCAAACCGGACCAAGTTACAGGTCAGATCTGTGTTGAGGCGACGCCGCTCACAGTCACAAACCACCTGTGATTGAATGAATGTAAACTGGAGCTGTTTAAAGTCACACTGCGGAACATTCCAGACAGAGCAGTGACGTCTCCATGGAAACAAAAGTGAAAAAAGTGCACAGCACACTCAGACACTACTGTGGTCCAGTTCATTTGTTTTGCAAAATAAAACCAAAAATAAGAAAATGAAAAAAAAAAAGGATAATGATTTTTTTTTTCAGTTTTTGATTTTGTGTTTAAATGAAAAATGGAAAAAAAAAAAAAAAAAAAAAAAAAAAACGGATAAAGGACAGAACCAGGACTAAACCAGGACTAAACCAGAACTAAACCAGGACTAAACCAGGACTAAACCAGGACTAAACCAGGAGTAAACCAGGACTGAACCAGGACTGACTGTCGGGTGATCAGGACTGAGACCACGACCAGACCAGGACAAGGATCAGGACTGAGACCGGGACTGAGACCGGGACTGAGATCGGGACCAGACTGGGACTGAGATCGGGACCAGACCAAAACCGGACCAGGACTGAGACCGGGACTGAGACTGGGACTGAGACCGGGACTGAGATTGGGACCAGACCAGTACTGAGCCCGGGACCAGGACCAGAACTGAAACCGGGACCAGAGCAGGACTGAGACCGGGACTGAGACCAGGACTGAGGCCCGGACCAGACCAGGACCAGACCAGGACTGAGGCCAGGCCCAGACCAGGACCAGACCAAGACTGAGGCCAGGCCCAGACCAGGACCAGACCAGGACTGAGCCCAGGGCCAGACCAGGACCAGACCAGGACTGAGGCCAGGGCCAGACCAGGACCAGACCAGGACTGAGGCCAGGGCCAGACGAGGACCAGACCAGGACTGAGGCCAGGACCAGACGAGGACCAGACCGGGATTGAGACCAGGACTGAGACTGGGACCGAGACCAGGACTGAGACCAGGACTGAGACCAGGACTGAGACCAGGACTGAGACCGGTCTAGTCCTGGTTCTGTCCTGGTTTAGACCTAGTTTAGTCCCGTTTTAGTCCTGGGATCAGTCCTGGTTCAGTCCTGCTCTCATCAGTCCCGGTCCTAGTCCGGTCTCAGTCCCAGTCTGGTCCCGGTCTCAGTCCCAGTCTGGTCCTGGTCTCAGTCCTGGTTCAGTCCGGCATCGCAGTTTAAGTCACGGAAACTGAAAAAAACGAATCATTATCAGTTTTTTTTTCATTTTGATTTTGGAGACAAATAATGAAGAAAATCGTTGTTTTTTTCATTTTATTATTTTTAGTTTTATTTTGAAAAACGACTGAACGAACGACACACTTTTCAATTTTTTTTTTTTTTTTTTAACCACTCCTCGGGTTGTAAACTCAGACTCAGACGGTTGTTTTCCTTCAGACTCACCGCGAACTTGAGCGCGCTGGCCTCGGGTCCCTCGAACTTGAAGTTGTTGAAGTCGGGCAGGTCAGTCATGTCCTGGTTTTCTCTCGGGGCGAAGCGTCGGTACCGTTTCTCGTGAGAGTCCGGGTCTTCGTACAGAGCGTAGTCGTTCATCCGCTCGCACACGCCGTCCAGAAGCTCCGACAGGTGCACCTCGGACCGCGACAGGGGCACCTGACGGACAGGGACGGACGGGTCAGAAAAACATCTAAACCAGGACTAAACCAGGACTAAACCAGGAATAAACCAGGACTAAACCAGGACTAAACCAGGTCTAAACCAGGTCTAAACCAGGACTAAACCAGGACTAAACCAGGTCTAAACCAGGTCTAAACCAGGACTAAACCAGGACTAAACCAGGTCTAAACCAGGTCTAAACCAGGACTAAACCAGGACTAAACCAGGACTAAACCAGTCTAAACCAGACTAAACCAGGACTAAACCAGGACTAAACCAGGACTCTAAACCAGGTCTAAACCAGGACTAAACCAGGACTAAACCAGGTCTAAACCAGGTCTAAACCAGGACTAAACCAGGTCTAAACCAGTCTAAACCAGGACTAACTAAACCAGGTCTAAACCAGGACTAAACCAGGTCTAAACCAGGTCTAAACCAGGACTAAACCAGGTCTAAACCAGGTCTAAACAGGACTAAACCAGGTCTAAACCAGGTCTAAACCAGGACTAAACCAGGTCTAAACCAGGTCTAAACCAGGACTAAAACCAGGTCTAAACCAGGTCTAAACCAGGTCTAAACCAGGAAAACCAGGTCTAAACCAGGTCTACTAAACCAGGTAAACCAGGACTAAACCAGGACTAAACCAGGACTAAACCAGGACTAAACCAGGACTAAACCAGGACTAAACCAGGTCTAAACCAGGTCTAAACCAGGTCTAAACCAGGACTAAACCAGTATTAAACCAGGACTAAACCAGGACTAAACCAGGTCTAAACCAGGACTAAACCAGGACTAAACCAGGTCTAAACCAGGACTAAACCAGGTCTAAACCAGGACTAAACCAGGACTAAACCAGGACTAAACCAGGACTTAACCAAGACTGAATGAGAACAAAAACATGATCAAACAAAGTCTAAACAAGTCCTTAACCAGAACTAAACCAGGACCAAGTCAAGAATGAACGAAGGATCAAAACCAAGACTAAACCAGATCTAACCAAGGTCCAGCTCAGGTCTAAAGATGGACTAAACCAGGACTAAACCACGATCTCTCGATGCAAAAGGTCAGATCTTATTTCCGTGGACTAACCTCTGGCTTTAACCAGAGTCTGAACCAGGTCTACACCAGGACTAAATCAAGACTGAATGAGGAGTAAAACGGGATCAAACCAGGTCTAAACAAGGACTTAAACAGAACTTAACCATGTCTGAACCAGAAGCAGGAATGAACCAAGATTGAACAGAATCAAACCAGGACTAAACCAATTGAAAACCAGGACTAAACCAGAACTAAATAAGATCAGAACCAGAACAGGACTAAACCAAGTCAGAACCAGGACTATACCAGGTAAGTACTAGGTCTAAACCAAGTCTAAGCTAAGTCCAAACCAGGTTCTAAAACCAGGACTAGAAAAGGACTCAACCAGGACTAAACTAGGACTAAACCAAAATGGAATGAGAACTAAAACAGGATCAAACCAGATCTAAACCAAGATCAAACCAGGACTAAACCAGGTCAAAACCAGATCTAAATCTGGTCTAAACCAGGACTGAACCAGGTTAGAACCAGAACCAGGAATGAACCAGTACTCATCCAGGACTAAACTAAATCAGAAGCAGGTCTAAACCAGGTCTACAGCAGGATGTAACCAGGACAAGATCAGAATCAGAGCCAGGAAGGAACTAAGACTGAACCAGAATCAAACCAGGTCTAAACCAAGTCAGAAACAAGACTAAACTAGGATTAAACCAGGTCAAAACTAGAACTAAACCAGGTCTAAAGCAGGATCCAAAACAGCTTTAATCCACGATCTTACCACAAAACCTCGGTGTAAAAGGTCAGATGTTGTTTCCGTGGACCAACCTCGGTCTCTCCCCACGGAAACAAAAACTGCTGTGGTGTCTAGACAGGTAGTGGCCCCTCGTCGCCCCCGGAGGACCCCCGCCCCGGAAGCACCCCTGGTCCTGGTCCTGGTCCTGGGTCCTGTGGGTCCGGGGGGAGTCCGGGGGTCAGGGTGAGGGGCCCGAGGCTGAATGAGAGCGGAAGGGCCCCGTGACAGAAGACGCGACGCAGAAGGAGAAACTCGCCGAGACAAAGACGCCGACGACCCGCAGAGTGACCCAAGACGCACACGGACAAAAGACCAAGAAAACTCAAGGAACGAGAAGAACGAGAGGCAAAATACACCAAAATACACCAAAAACTACTACTACTACTACTACTACTACTACTACTACTGCAACTAGTACTACTACTGCAACTAGTACTACTACTGCAACTGTGACTAGTACTACTACTGCAACTAGTACTAGTACTACTGCACTGCTACAACTGTGACTAGTTACTACTACTGCAACTAGTACTACTACTACTAACTACTACTAACTAACTGCAACTAGTACTACTACTGCAACTGCAACTAGTACTTACTACTGCAACTAGCTACTACTACTGTACTAACTACTAGCAACTAGTTACTACTACTGCAACTGCAACTAGTACTACTACTGCAACTACAACTAACTACTACTAGTACTAGTACACTACTGCAACTAGTACTACTACTGCACTAGTACTACTACTACTACTAACTGCTAACTAGTACTACTACTGCAACTAGTACTACTACTGCATAGTACTACTACTGCAACTAGTACTACTACTGCAACTGCAACTAGTACTACTACTGCAACTGCAACTAGTACTACTACTGCAACTAGTACTACTACTGCAACTAGTACTACTACTGCAACTGCAACTAGTACTACTACTGCAACTAGTACTACTACTGCAACTGCAACTAGTACTACTACTGCAAACTATACTACTACTGCAACTGCAACTAGTACTACTACTGCAACTGCAACTAGTACTACTACTGCAACTAGTACTACTACTGCAACTAGTACTACTACTGCTACTGCAACTAGTACTACTACTGCCAACTGCAACTAGTAACTAGTAACTACTGCAACTAGTACTACTCACTACTGCAACTACTGCAACTAGTACTACTGCAACTAACTACTACTACTGCAACTACTAGTACTACTACTGCAACTGCACTAGTACTACTACTGCAACTAGTACTACTACTGCAACTGCAACTAGTACTACTACTGCAACTACAACTAGTACTACTACTGCAACTAGTACTACTACTGCAACTGTGACTAGTACTACTACTGCAACTAGTACTACTACTGCACTAGTACTAACTAGCTACTACTACTGCAACTAGTACTACTACTGCAACTGCAACTAGTACTACTACTGCAACTACAACTAGTACTACTACTGCAAACTGCACTAGTACTAACTACTGCAACTGCAAACTAGCAACTACTACTACTGCAACTACTAACTAGTACTACTACTGCAACTGCAACTAGTACTACTACTGCTACTGCAACTAGTACTACTACTACTAGCAACTAGTACAACTAGTACTACTACTGCAACTACAACTAGTACTACTACTGCTACTGCAACTAGTACTAACTACTACTAACTAGCAACTACTACTACTACTACTACTACTACTGCAAACTAGTACAACTAGTACTACTACTGCAACTGCAACTAGTACTACTACTGCAACTACAACTAGTACTACTAGTACTACTACTGCAACTGCAACTAGTACAACTACTACTGCAACTGCAACTAGTACTACTACTACTGCAACTACAACTAACTACTACTACTGCTACTACAACTAGTACTGCTACTACTGCAACTACTACTAAGTACTACTACTGCAACTACAACTAGTACTACTACTGCAACTGCAACTAGTACTACTACTGCAACTACAACTGCAGTACTACTACTGCAACTGCAACTAACTACTGCAGTATACTACTACTGCTACTACAACTAGTACTACTACTGCAACTACTGCAACTAGTACTACTACTGCTACTGCAACTAGTACTACTACTCCAACTGCAAATAGTACAACTAGTACTACTACTGCAACTGCAACTAGTACTACTACTGCAACTACAACTAGTACTACTACTGCAACTGCAACTAGTACTACTACTGCTACTGCAACTAACAACTAGTACTACTACTGCAACTGCAACTAGTACTACTGCACTACAACTAGTACTACTACTGCAACTACAACTGCTAACTACTGCAACTACTAGTACTACTACTGCTACTGCAACTACTAACTACTGCAACTGCAACTAGTACTACTACTGCAACTACAACTAGTACTACTACTGCAACTGCAACTACTACTACTACTACTGCTACTGCAACTAGTACTAACTAACTACTGCAACTACAACTAGTACTACTACTGCTACTGCAACTAGTACTAACTACTACTGCAAACTACTACTACTGCAACTACAACTAGTACTAACTACTGCAACTACAACTAGTACTACTACTGCTACTGCAACTAGTACTACTACTGCAACTAAACTAGTACTACTACTAACTGCAACTAGTACAACTAACTACTACTACTGCAACTACAACTAGTACTACTGCAACTACTACTACTACTGCAACTACTAACTAGTACTACTACTGCAACTGCAACTAGTACTACTACTGCAACTAGTACTACTGCAACTGCAACTAGTACTACTACTGCAACTGCAACTAGTACTACTACTGCAACTGCAACTAGTACTACTACTGCAACTGCAACTAGTACTACTACTGCTACAACTAGTACTACTACTCACTACAACTACAACTAGTACTACTACTGACTACTACTGCAACTACCTACTGCAACTAGTACTACTACTGCAACTGCAACTAACTACTACTGCAACTACTAGTACTACTACTGCAACTGCAACTAGTACTACTACTGAACTAACTAGTACTACTACTGCAACTAACTAGTACTACTACTGCAACTACAACTAGTACTACTACTGCTACTGCAACTAGTACTACTACTACTGCAACTGCAACTAGGACTACTACTGCAACTGCAGACAGTACTTTAACTTCTACAAGAC